ACGCTGCCTTGCCTGCTCTTCCTCTCTAGCTGGACTCTTAATGGTGTACGGTTGCATCCGTCCCGGGCAAACAACTGCTAATGTCTCCTCTGCCCTTGTAGGCTCTTGACAAGGTTCCAGTTGCTTGCCCTGGACTGCCGTTCTCTTAGGGGTCTGAAATAAGATTTTAAATGCGAATTGACTTTGGTCTTATTTCATTATAGACGTGGGTAATGTTTCTTGTAGCTCTCGGTATTTCCGTGGAAAGCAGACTTACTTTAACAGCGTTTATTATACGTGTGTTATCTGAAAATAGGATATGAATGAAGAGTCTGTCTCAGTAGGTTTAAAGGCTTTACACTTCCTCCTGAGTTCCCAGGGATTTCCATGTTTTACAGGTTCAGGGACTGTATTTTAAATAACAAAGGTTAGAACTTTTTTTTATTTGTTTGTTTATTTTAAGGCAGTAGGAAGTTGAAGCCATGCAGATAGCAAATGTAGGTAGATTTGAGTTGAGAAGTATAAACTAGTATCATCATGATGCTATAAGGTGTGGTACATTTTACAAAGTGGTAGAATTTTATATTTGCATGTGCACATGGTCTTATATTTTAAAGAAATTATCCTAGAATTTTTTTTTTCTGCTTTGAAGGGGTTTGCTTCTTAAAGATGTTAGGAAGAATGACCTGTTAACATGGTTTTGTAGCTACAAAGCATAAATAATGTATAACAGAGGCTACATTCTGATGCTGTGCCCAATGCCAGATACAAGATAGAACTTAGCTTGGAGTTTTGGAGGCAGAGTCTTGAGAAGCCTAACTGTTCAAGCCCTGCAGCTGTCTCGTGGCTGCATTCCTTCATGGTGCAGACAGCAGTATGGGAGTCCTGTGGAAGCCATTAGCATGTGGGTAGAGGCATAAGTGGTACAGTCTCCAGACGGGAAGTCAGGGGCAGGGGGAGGAAGGATGTACATGAGAGACAGACAGACCCTGGATCTCATAGGTTCCCATAATCCCTTTCTAGGGCATATCCCCAAGGACCTAAGGAATTACTTGGCCTTGTAGAGAGAGATTCTGTCACCCTCAGCAGCACTACCCTAGGGCCCACCGTACCTTTGGAATGCAGTCAGGCTATGCTCAAACCATGGCCGTGGTGAACCGCATATACCATGGTGCTCCAGAAACTCGGAATTGCCTGGTGACAGCATCACTGTTTAAATGCACTCCGTGACGTTCCCACGACTGGAATTCCCTGACAGCGCTTTTCTCAGATGTGCCCCGATTAAGTGATGCATGGCTGGATTACTTTTTATTTATTTTATTTTATGCTATTTCCTGTTGTTGCCTAGAACATGCTCCCCAGTCAAGCACTTCATCAGGGAATATCTCCAGACACAGAGCATTTTCATCTGCCTTTTGAAAGTGCTGCTCTCCTCCCGTGATTTCTGCACTTATTTTTGATTACTCAGAATTTTTTGGTACAAGCTCACATTTACAGACTTCCAAGTATTGTTCAATAAACATTTCTTCCCTTCCCTGAATCATTAGGAATTGAATTCCTGGGATGAAGCCCCGTTGTCTCAGTCATAGGTTACAGAACCTTGGGAATCAGTCTGTGCTACAAAGAATAACAGGCAAGAAGTATATCGGGTTCTGTTGCTGCAGCCCTTACTGTAGGAGAGAAGGGGAGAGCCAGGCCCAGCTTCGGCAGGGAAAGGAATAAAATTTTGGTATAATAAAATCTGAAGAGAAGACTCAGCTGCCCGTGGGGCGAGGTCTAGAGTTGGGATGGCCCTTCTTCATTGTTCTGAGGTGGTGGGGAGTTCTTAGTCTCGCTTCTGTGAAGGGGACTGTTGACAGTAGACGGTTCTGGGCAGAGTCTAGAGCCTTAGGTAAATCAGTATTCTCCAGCTTCAGCCTCCCCCGCTCCCCCAGACCGTGGCTGCTGAGAGCCCTCTCTTAGGCCTGCAGGCAACTGAAGCTTGTATTGTACAGCCAGTGTTCACTGCGATCAGAGCACTTTGGTGTGCGTTTCCTATAAACTAGAACACCAGATGAGAAGAGGTATTGGCTAAGGGTTAACCAAGACTAAGGATGTTTGAAGAAATTTTAGAGACCCTACTAGTTTGTAAACTAATTAAAAATACAGTTAAAAGGGGGGAAAAGGGCGTTCGAACAGTGGTACCACGAGTGAACAGTACTGCTCCCAGGAGACAGTTTTTTAGTGAAAATCTCAGTGCTGTGTACAGGCCGTCTCCCTATGAGTTACTGGCCAGGGAGGCCCCGGAGTCATCCATACAGTAGCGGCTGTTGCTGCTGTTCCTGCTATGTTACCCATCACCACTAGGTTGTAAGACTCTGTTGCTGAAGATACCACATTGGTTGTAGGACTTGGTGAAATCAATCCTTGAGCTGACCAGAGAATTCTCTCTCCCCTGGCTAGCTTTCCTGGTGCTAAAAGGTGCTGTGTAGCCTGCTGGGGCATGGGAGGGAGGAGAGACATCAGTGGTCTTACCCAGTACTGCATGCTGCAACACTGACCTGCCAGTCAAGTTGTGCCTACAGCTGCAATAAAGGCAGGACAGTTTATAGGGTAACCAACCCCTCTCTTGATTGGATTTGAGGCCTGCTCCCCAGGATTGAAGTCATGCCTGGAGCTGAAAATACTGAAAACCCAAGTCTTGAGAAGCCATAGGCCCAAGGGGAGAACTTACTGATACTGTTTTGCTAAGTGGTCATGTTGTCAAACTTCTCTCTAAATATTTATCTGTATATATGCTGCCCCTAGCCTTAGTCAGAGAAGCTGCTTCCTCTGTCAGGTGGTGGCTCATGCAGATGTACTTGACTGTTCAGAGTGCTGGGCGTGAGTGACTGAGCCATCGGTAGTAGTGGGGCAGCTGTAGCAGGGCTCAGGGGGCATTGCGGAAGAGTGGGTAGAAGGACGGGGAGCTGTGACTGCTATTAGTGTTAATATATCTCTTTTCTAGTCACCGATTCTGTCTGTCACCAGCGTGCCACCACCGGCACTGCCGTTGCCTTCTCGTGCCAATGTCCTTTCACTTTTGTTTGGGCACTGACACCCAGTGCACGCCCCTACCACTCCTCAATCAAAGTGGATTTCAGTACCTTGTTCCAGCCTGACCTCCGGCCCTGCTATGCATCTGCTCCCACACCCAGCTTTAGCCGTGAGACCTGTTGTGTGTATCACTCTGCCTTCCTCACCTTTTGCATAAATGCCCTGCCCGACTTAGACTCATCTCATGACTGTTGGGCTACATCTATGGGAAGGAATCATTCCCCATTTCTCCTCTCCCGCTTGTTTACAATGGGCAGTGTTTTAAGGCTAAGCCCAAAGCCTTGCTCTTCGGGAAGGCTGTCCTCTGTCAGGAGCGCAGTTCTTCCTGCAGGAAGGTCACAGTGTGCGGTCCAGCACTCTACTTACCTGTGTCTGTTTTTACACTCTGCCAGCTCTGTGTATGTAACTCTTGGATACCAGGGACAATTTTCTATGAGTTTTTTTTTTTAAAGATAACTATTAAGGTTTTATTTTGTTTTCCAGTCATAAGTGGAAAGGCATATTGAAAAACTTTCTAGCCAGTTTGTGGTAAAATTCCCTTATTTTTAAATGCAAGGTTTAACAGATGAACTTGACTTCATTATAGATTAGTAAAAACCTACGCTGATAGTCGAATGCTAGTAAAATTGAATAATTTAGAAAGAAAAATTTAGCCTCTGAGGAAAATAATTTCTTAATTTGCATATGTAAAGTTTATGCATAATTTATTAATCTATTTTTCATTTGCTTAGGCTGTTTCTGTTTTATATGGTTCCCAGGATTTAAATGATGGTGATTTAGTTAAACAGTGTTATCTCCAAAATACGTGGCTGCAATTTTTAACCTCGAGTAATTGTATAAAGTGCAAACTTTTCTACAAATTTTGTTGAGCGCCTCAATTCACAAATCACTCTGTAAACACAGGTGTGTGTGGTGCTCCTGACCAATCTCATCACAGGTGTTCATACTTGGTTACTGTGTATCCATTCTGCTCTTCATTGTCAGAAGAGCATGCTGTGTGTTTCTTCTTGTCTCCTAGTGATAAACCCGTGGAACATTTCACAGAGTGGATAACCAATAGGGAATTGAAGATCAAGCATGGTTGCACATAACTGTGGTTGTAACTACTTGGGAAAATGAGGCAAGAGGGTTTTTTTGAACTCAGGGGTTTCAGCTACCCTGGGCAGTGCACTATGACCCTGTCTCAGCAAACAACCATCAGACGAATGGGCAAATGAACCAGGAGTTGATGGAGAAAATGAAAGTGGTGCATCATGGACAAGAAGAGTGTGGACTGAGTGTGAGCGCACACTTCTAATCCCAGGCCAATTGTTATAGTGAGGAGGACAGAGAGGAGGAGGACGCGGTGTGATTGTTGGGTTGCTTTGTATTATCCTAGCCAGAGACCCGAGACCAGGGTGATGGTATTTTGATAAAGATTTAATAAAGTTATCATGCCTGGGTATAGTGTCACATGACAGAAGCTGTCCTCTGGCTTTCACACGGGTGCACCTGCCTCATCTTCACCCTTTCCTTTTTCTGTCTTAAGAAAGGGTTTCACTAAGCTCAGGCTGCCCTGGGACTTGACTCTGTGGTCCAGGCTGGCCTTAGTGCTGGGGTTATAGGCATGTACTCCTGGGTGATGGGGGTTGGGAAGTAATTCTTTAAGGTCACAGAACACTTTAAATTTTTTCTACTGGCTATTATTATTATTGTTGTTGTTATTATTGTTACTCAGTGTTGGGGATCTAAGACACACCAGAGCCTCGCCCGCTAGGAGCCAGACCTAGCCCCCATTGGCTATAACAGCAGCATTTAATACTGCATCCAGTTATACAGTCCTGTGCATAGGAAGGACTGCCTGTATACTAGCATATAGCACTTAAAAATTCTTAACATATTTTATTCGTGCACACATTGTAATGACTCCATTGCTTGACTGCATTCTGATTTTAGAATATTTTTAGCATGCAGATTTCCCAAACCCGAGATGGTCATTGTGAAGCATGCGAAGGAGGTATCGTCAGCAGAGACCCCTGACAGTTTTGGTACAGTACAACCTGACAGTGTTGTTTGGCCGATGTTTATTGCAAATAGCTAAGCATCTAATTGACAGGACTTCTTGCTTGTTCAGAATAGAATGCTTCAAAACTTTCCTTTTGCATTAATATTTTAGACTGCCAGCAGAATGTCTGCATTATCTAACCCTGGCCTGTAGATGTGATTAGGTAATAACCGCACACTTAACTAACTAAGGGACTGAGTTTGTGGTGCTGAGAAAACAACAGCCAGGGAGCAGCTCGTGTCTTAGTGCTCCACAAGGAGGCAGAGACAAGAGCTTTACTAGTTCAAAGCCACCCTGGGCTACGAAACAACACCCTATCTCAGTGCACATCCTCCCGCCCCCGTATATAGACACGTGCTCTTGAATAGTCTAAAAGTTTACGTAAGTTCTAAGTTCATGGTAAAGCCAGAAGTGAAAGGCTGTTTTGTTCTTGGTTTTTTTGATTTGCTATCTGTACAGTTGCATATAATAGTAGAGGTGGAATTGTGTGAATTTGTGTTTATGTTTGAAGTTCACACGGGGAAAAATAGTTTAAAATCAACATTCTCTATCCTGGTTTCAATCCATAGTCTATTTAACATTCAGTATTAACTAGTTAACACTTAGCCATGCCCAGCAATGCAGTCCAGTGGATGAAAAATATCTGAATGATTTTATGGCTTTATGGGTTAAAGAAATTTTGTAAGGCTAAGGATTAAATACTACTCAGAAAGTATTTGTCAAGGACGAAAACTGAGTTGCCAGAACTTCAGAGGAATACAGGAGGCACAAGCCTGTGTGTGCACGTTTGTACTCACATTGGCACACTAGTTCCTTACCTGTAAAATCCTCTACTCTGTTCAACTTTGCTAATTCTAATGCAGTGTAAAAAGAAAGTAAGCAGGCAAGCATGCACATTTAATGCTGGTATCTTTTGAAGAATAGTTTTGGTTTGAGTTATTCTGAAGGCTGTTCCCAGTGTGGGCACTAACGAAAGGCTGTTCCAGAGCGGACTGCTGACGCTCATCCCCAGCAGTTACTGCAGTGCCGAGTGGGAACTGCACTAACAGGAGGTCACAGATGGTGCTCGGCGTTGGAAACTTAGTATCTAGTTATGCCCCTAGTTTTCCCGTCTCTTTTAGGGAGTTTCCTTCCGAAAGCTATCAGTATGCAGTAAAGAAGAACACAATTGAAAGGTTGAAAGTTTTTTTTTTTTTTAAGACAGGGTTTCTTTGGAGCTTTGGAGCCTGTCCTAGAATTCACTTTGTAGACCAGGTTGGCCTGGCACTCACAGAGATCCACCTGTCTCTGCTGGAGTTAAAGGTGTGCGTCACCTGGAGAGCACAGTTGAATCTTTGGGAATGCAGAGACTTCAGACTCTCGATTGCGCACCTATGACAGTGTGTTCAGGCCTTGGCATCTGTTCATTGTCACATCAGGCATTTGCATCAGCCCTGCAGAGTTTTAGTTCAGTGCAGTTTCAGGACAGTGGATCTATCTGTTCAGGGTTAGAGATGGAGATTGACCCTGTACTGGAGGCCACATAGTTTTGAAACCAGCAGAAACAGATCTGATGTGTGATCCCCAACCTCCATCCATGTAGCTTTTTATCTGGTGATCATGGTGAGCCTTATGGATTTTTTTTTTTACTTTCTTTTTCATGGTGAGTGGTGGTGAGGTACGTCAGATTTCTTATTTTCTTTTAAATGACAGGTGTTTGAAATTATGTCTGAGGGAAATTTTATCTTAGGAGAGAGGGAAAACCACTTGAAGAGGATCTGGTATTTAATTGCAGCTTTCTTTCTGTTTGAAATACTGATGCATAGCCAATGTCATGATAGTGCTATGTATTTACATGCTGTTATTTTTTTTTACTGCCCTTTATTTTTCTGTTGGGGGTTTATTCAATCAAAGGGAATTCAAATCTAGAATCTAGGTTGTGAACCAGCTTTCTGTCATGATTAAATCACCATCCCTATGGCTACATCTTCACATCATCAAAGAGAGAATATAGACCACATTTCCTGGTGGCCATGCTTCTTGCCTTTAGACCTGATAGTTCTTAGCTGTGGCAGACTCTACGGTATTGTTAAACAGTTTTGAACCCCTGCTGCTAATAGCATTTCCCATTTTTGTCATATTCTAAGCAGCCCTGAATTTGCTTCTAGAACGAGGCAGCATCCCACTGAGAACCACGAGCTTCAGTTCCAAGATTCCTTCCGTCACTCGTTTTCTGTGGGAGAACCCTTATTTTAGGGATGGTGGAAAGAGAAAAGGGTGGCAACCAACTGAGAAAAACCTCTGTTCTTTCCTCGATGTTAAGCAGTTTTATTTTAAAATGAATGTCTTTGGGGTTACGCAACCATACTCACAGACAGATGTACTATTTGTGGTATTCTACGATAGGTAGATTTTTCTAGCTCAGTTTAAGTTTTTCTTTTGTAGCACACATGGCTATATGTTTTTTGTTTTAAAAAGAGAAAGCTAAATACCCACAGTAAGTAAAAGTAGCAGAATCTGACTTTTCCTAGAGTTACACTGTTGCTTTACCGAATTAACCTGTTAAAAGAAGCATTGCATGTACTAATAGTTTCTTGCTGTTCACAGGCATAAAAGCGGGGGAGCCTGTGTTAAGACATCTGTAATTGTTGCACATACACAGCTGCATATGTAAAAGCAACTGCACACCAGTGGTATGTGTGGTTATCTTAAAAGACAGGTACTGTGAAGTGAAAGATAGGAAAATAAAATGATGATATCTTTAGTGTGGTAATTATTACTTAAGGCTGAGTTTAACAGGTCAGTAAATTAGTGTCTAGTTGAGCACTGCAGCCTTCTTGTCACACTGGGTATGCCTGTTTCAGATGTGCAGTCTGTCACTGGCCCAGGAGCTCCTAGGTACTAGTAAGCTGGGTGTGGTCCCGCCTTACGTTGCCCATCAGGTCCTCCAGAAGATCTAGGGAGTGCATAGTTCCGCTCAGCTCTGAGCAGGAGTATCTTTGCTAATATAATGTGTATCTCACAATAAGCACTTCTAATAGCTAAATAAAGTTACAGGACCACATGGGTTTAACCCAAGGCATGTATTTAAAATACGATTTTGAAATCTTTATATAAAAGGCCCCATTAACTAAACTCTCCTAATCAATTGAGTTCTTTGCTGTTTCTAAAGAGTGTTCATTTTTTGTTTCTTGCAAGTGTGCTGCCTAGCCATGTTTATGTAGTGTTATAAATTCCTTTTTGGTGCATGGCTTCTTGTCGTCTAATAAAACTAGCTAAATTATTTTGCCTGCAGCATGGCTTGAATCTTGTACTCTTTAACGCAACGTTGAATTTCATCATGCACTTCATATTTTTTGTTCCCATTAAAAGCTAAACAGATATTCATAATGCCCGGAATCTTATCTCTCTGGGTGTTGTTTAAAGCACCAATTTTGTACTTGTTCTCCCTCATGAGTTCCTTAGTGGACTCATTTGTGCTGCTTGCTCTCCTCCCTGGGGCAGATGCCGGGTGGGTCTGGAGGAGGCCAGCGTTCAGAAGGCAGGCGCCGACTCTAGAGGCTATCTGCCCTCACCGAGGGAAGCTGTTTTGCTGCTTAAACTTACTAAAAACGATGTAAAAAAATATTTTTCTTGATTTTTTTTCCATGCTTACGGCAATAGTCTGAAATAAAGCACTATATTTAGAGTTATCTTGTGGTGTGAGCACAATAGCAAATGGAGTTGGACTCAGACTCTTGGTGTTTCCAAACTGTCGTTTCAAGCTTAGAGTTATAGGATATAAAGTGTGGTTAATTTAATGAGCGTTCAGCATTAAAAAACAGATCATAGTTTCTGTTTAATAAGATATTAAAGGTTATTGTATGCCGTGGGTCTACATTTCTGCTTTCCAGAGCCAGTTGCTGTAAACACATTTTATAATTCAATGGTAGAAACTAAAACACGGAAATTGTAGCTTTCTCACTTATATTGCTCTTATTACAGTCTTTTGGTTCAATTTGAAAATATGTCTTCAGAACAATTAGAAAAGAAGTATACCAACAAGCATAGCTTATTCTAAAAATTCCATAAAATTTTATTAATATTGATAAAATTATCTTTAAAGGAAAGTGTGTTAAAGGAGAGATATAGGTTAAATCTTATCTTACAATAAATTCAGGTTTATTGTTATTCTTGTCTAGAGTCTTATCATTTAAAGGAAGTTGACAGTTGGAGCTGGAAAATTTTTTTTAAACAGATTTATTTATTTGTTATGTATACAGTGTTTTGCTTGCTTGTATGCCTACAGCTAGAAGAGAGCACCAGATCTCATTTCAGATGGCTGTGAGCCACCATGTGGTTGCTGAGAATTGAACTCAGGACCTCTGGAAGATCAGTTACTGCTCTTAACCTCTGAGCCATATCTTCAGCTCTGGAGCTTGAAATTTTTAAAAATTTCTTAATTACATTTTATCTAAATCTCAAAACAATAAAATATTTTCATCAAGTTTGACCTAGAATGCAAGCTGGGCTCAGTGTGCACCTGTAGCTGTGGCCCTTGAGTGTCTGAGGCTGGAGGACCACCGGTTTCAGTGAGCCTTGTCAGGGAAACGAGACCTCCTTCCCAAGAAACGGTGGAAAAGCAGCAGGGTGGGGTTCACCGGCCATACTTTTCCTGGGAGACATTTTATAGCTTTAGAGCCGTCTTTAAATTTTTGTCTTGATTTTACTTTGGATTCAATAACACCACAAGGAAGCACCACTTAATATGACTTTTCTGAAGAATACGAAAGATTTAGGTATAAATCCTAAGTTAAAAACACCAACAACTAGTTAAAGTATCCAATAAGGAATTGATCTGCTGTACATTTGTCTAAGTTAGCTGACTGAAAATCCCAGATTAAAAAATTAGTGAATTTTGTTGTAAGAATCATTTTGACAAAGGAAGATCAGCTATAAACAAATGCTATTTTCTCTTCTCTGGATAACCATATATTCACTATGCTTGTTTTTGTGTAGTTTATTTTATTAATAACTTTGCTGTGAATACATATTCATATGACTTATTAGTCTCTGAAAGCAGTAGTAAGGCATATAGTCTTTTGCCATTGAAATAAATTGTTTTGGGAATGTGCCTGTCAGAAAATTGTTTCTTCAAGTAGGGTAAGGGCTTGATGGTTTCATAAATAAAATTGATTTTTCTTCACTAGGGAAAAATGTGATCTCATAAAAGACACAGCAAAAATAATTGAGAAACCTGGCTTTACTCAACCGCTCTTCTTTTGTTGGTCTCGAGCCCCTTTCTTGGTGATCATGACACCTTATAGATTCAGCAATTAATAATGATTTCAAGTGCAAAAGCGATATTAGAAATATTAGTGTCATCTTAAATACTAGAAGTCACACATATAATTCTGTAAAACACGTAAGTGTCATTATATAAAGCCAAGGAAGAGAAAAACTGTCTTACCAATAAGAGAAAATATTCTACATATGTTGAGTGACCACATGTCCAAGACTAATGTTGGCATAGTATGATCGGTCTGACCCCAGACTCCTGTGTGTGTGTGTGGTGCGTGTGGTATATGTGTGCATGTGTGTTGTAGGAGACCACTTGCTTGTTCATGGCTGCTCAGACTCGAGATAACCACACAGAAACTGTATTAATTAAATAACTGCTTGGCCAATTAGCTCTAGCTTCTTATTGGCTAGCTCTTACATCTTAATTTAACCCATTTCTATTAATCTGTGTATTACATGTTGCTGTCGTTTACTGGCAAGGTTCTGGCACGTCTCTTCCCAGCGGGGCTACATGGTGTCTCTGACTCCACCTCCTTTCTTCCAGCATTCAGTTTAGTGTTCTCCACCTACCTCTATTCTGCTCTGCTCAGGCCCAAGACAGATTCTTTATTAACCAATGGTATTCACAGCATACAGAGGGGACTCCCACATCATATATATGTGTGTATGTGTCTGTATCTGTGGTATGCGTATGGTGTGTATATGTTGTGTGGTGTATGTGATTTGGTGTGGATATGTATGTGTGTATGTGGATATGTATGTGTGTGGTATGTATGTGCATGCATGTGTACATGAATGTCCGTTTATGTGGTGTGGTGTGTGTTTGTATGTGTGTAGTGTGAGTATCCTAGGATTGAAGCAAATACTCTGGTTAGGTTATAGGGTTTCTACAGCAGTGCAGGCTCAGATGGAGGCTTACTGTCCTTGTTACGGAAGGTGCTGGGCACAAAGGTGCATCTTTCCAGGTGTATCTTTCGGTTAGGACCCACACCCTACTTTCCAGCACCTCCCAACAATGCCGCAGTTTCACGACTTTGTAAAGGATGAATTGTTGATGAAGCCAGAGCCCCAGTGACCCAGTCACTTCCCAGAGTCCCTCCTCTGAATTTGCTGCACTCAAACTGAGCTTTCAACCTAGGAGCCCTCTGGGAAACAAACCTATACAGGTTCTCCTCTGTGCTACCAACTCATTCTACTTGGCTGGGGGAGGAAAGAGAAGGCAAAGTGTTGACCTTTCCTACCGTCACAGATGCTGAGATGTTCTGATTGAGGAACCAGCTTATTGTCATTTTGTAATAATTCTAAATTGATTTAAATTATTATCCTAGATTTGCCTAAATTCTTCTAAATGTAACGAGACATGATACTTTTGTTGATACTCGGAAAAACTTTCTCATGTATTACATATTGCCTCTTGGCTTTTTGACTAAAGATCAAGTGCCTGCCATACATTATAAATAATATATTATGACTTGTTATATTAAATAGTAACTATACCTTTTTGGTTGTTTTAGTGTATAGACTATGTATTCTAGTAGTATAGTTTTAAAAAATTCAAATTTCAGTGTATTGTTAAATGGACATTGTACAAGCTAGTAAAACCAGTGTTGTAATGACATTTTTAAGATGTAATTTCCAAGTGGCTGTGGTAGCACAGGGCTGGTATTTCAGCACTTGGAATATGGAGGCAGGAAGACTGGGGATTCGAGGCCAACTAGGATTGTATAATAAGAGCCTGTCTCTAAATAAATAAACAACTAATATAAATATATCAGAGTGTCTTTTTTTCTGCTGTCAGTATTGGTTTGTATATATTTAAGTCATCCAGAGTTTCCATTTAAAGACAAGTATTATTTCTGGAATGTGATTCTATTGTAATAGATGCAAACGGGTTTCCTGCATGTGATGCCATGACCTAAATAAAAGAGAGCCCCCCGCGTGTGACACCTGCGTGTGGCCCCTGCGCGTGACTCACACCGTGTGGCCCCTGTGTGTTACCTACCCACGGCATGTGGCCCCTGCGTGTGACCCATGGCGTGCGGCTGAAACTGCTTAGCACCTACTCCTGTAGTTCACTCCAAACCAATATTCTTTAAAGTGGATATTTGGATCTACTAACCCAAATATATCTTTGTTTTTCGTAAGTCTGTTGCTGTACACTAGTAACTAACTCTTGCTCCATACCGTTTCTTCTCCTTTAGAGAAATTGGAAGCTCAACCACCCACTCCAGGACAGCTGAGATATGGTAATGGCTCTATAATTGTTAAATTGGCATGCATCTCTGTTTTGAACCTGAAGGAACTGTTTCTTAGAATGGCACAAAAATCAGTGAATTAAACTTCTCTGATAGACTGGATTGTCCTTTTTTTTTTTTTCATATAGGAGTACTTTCTAAACCTGGTTGAAGATATATCACAACATTATGGGATAATTAATATTTTTAAATGTTCTTGTCATCTAGTAATAAGAGGAAAATTGTTAGAAGTTTTATTAATTTGCAGGAAAATGTGTATTTTTGTTTACTTCCTAGGCCAAATTTAAATTAGATAACTGCAGATCTTAATTTTAGATTCAGGCTAACTGATGCAGAAAGTGTTTCTGGGTAGTGTTTGTATCTGTAAGAAAGTAAGTGAGTTCGTTTGAGGAGGAAGAAACCTCACTGTGGAGCTCTACCGTCTTTCTTTCCTGTTATGATAAGAATGAGTATTGCAGGTTAATATGGGAGTGGTGTAAAACAGTTTAGGGTCTTATTAGAAGACAGTGGAAGAATCATTTAAAGTGTGGTGGTGAATTTGAGTAGGTGGTAATTAAGTAGGCAATTAAATATTAAATGTGATTTGCTAACAGCTGCCTAGCTATAGAATAGTGTTTGCCACAGGGAATTGAAGAAATAGCAAATTAGTAGGAGAGCATTCTTCACTGGAAGGCAAATTCAAATGACTAGGAAAAAAAACTAATGATCGTTCCTTTTTTTTCCTCTCATAGGTAGAATGTAATTTATGTTAGGAATTAGTATCTTTTCCTCAAACACCAAAACAATTTAAGAATTTTTTAAGATCTCCCTTCCCAGGTAATCATTCCTGATTCTCCCAGCCCAGATTCCTAACTCGGTACTGATACTACATACAGTACTATTATCATTATTTTGTAGGTGATGTTGAAATTAACTGTGTATGTGGTTAGGCTTCTATGTCTAAAGCCTCTGAGATGTGGAAACCAAGTTTCATGGCTTTGTCTCTCGAGTTCCCAGCAGGGTGCCCAGTGCATAATTTTTTTTTGAGAAATTTTATTTTCCTCCTTTGAATTAAAAGTAGTTTTTTATTTATATGGCAAACGGATTAATATATTACACATAAAGACCTATTCCATAGTTGATTAGTTGATTAGTATGGCAGTATGCCTTAGCTTCACTGACTAGGCTTCTACCAGGATAAACTCTTAGTGCAATCTTGATGCCATCTGCACCTTATTTTAAGGTATTTGTTCGAATACTAAGTAATCTCAGCTGATTTCTTGGTTGTTTGCCATATTTGTGTTTCAGAAACCACGGAGAGGGCTGTGTCTAGGACAGGTTTCCCTTCACTGTGTGGGCTTCTTTGGGTGACTTCAAAATTTCCAGCGTACTTTTTTGCCCATTAAGTTTATGTTGTAGCTGGAAGGTAGGGTTGTGTGTGTGTTTTGGAAGCTGCTTACTGTAACAAGTTGAATGTCAGTAGGTGCCCAACGGACATAGGGTGGAAAGTGAGAGAAAGAAGGCTGAGGTCTGGAGTTGAGCCCCATCTCATGAGTATGATATGATGTTTGGCTTTTACCATCTTGATAATTTTCATAGTAACAAGCACAACGGGATATTCCGCTCTTCGTCATGAGCATTGTTACTGTAACAGGCAGAGACCTGAAATAACTGGTTATATCTGTTGCATGCTGTGTACAGTATCAATATATGTAATAATCCATACACGGTGGTGTCTATTATTATGCTGAAGATGGTATTTCTTTGATAGACGTTGTGGATAGAAGTGTTAATTTTTTTGAATTACTGCCTACTAGTTTTCCCTGATGGTACAGAAGTCATACCATAGAATATCATATTTTCATAACTTCTGGACTATATTTCAGTTACAGTGTATATTTAATTGCACTAAAAGAAAAAAAAAGAATCTGAAGTCACTAACAAATATAACCAACTGTCTTAAGGGAGCACTGTTTTTAAATATAGTATAAAAATCAATTTTTTTCTCAGTTTCCTTGACTCCTCAATTTGTTGAGGAAGTTGTCAGTTGAGCTGATGTTGGCTGTGCCTTAGAAGTTGTAATGATCAAATAAAATAGTTTTTTCCTGTTCCCAGCCTTAATCTGTTTCACAGTATGCCTCCACTAGTCTAAATATAGAATTAGCTTCTTTTCCAGGTTAGTATCCTCAACTTAATTCCTTTTGAGCATCTGCTCTGTACTCAGCATTGTACAGTATGCTGAGGATACAAATTAGAAAAATGAAGCTAGATTATAAAAAAAACAAACCCACAGTTTTCCTTCTTTGACTTTTAATAATCCAGGTTTCAGGTTATGTGCCAGATAGATGAGGTGAGAGGTGTCTTTGGTAGGAAGAGGCCTTCAAGGCACAGCTTGATGTGGAGCAAATACCAATTCTTGCAGTTTTCAGTAGCACTGAAATTTTGGTGGGTTCCGAGATGCTAAGGACTGCCTGTCCACAGGTGTCAGATGAAGGTAATCACCATTTCCTAAAATCTCTTTAAAAAGTTGACTAGGAACTGAGTGGTGGTGGTGGCACACGCCTTTAATCCCAGCACTCGGGAGGCAGAGGCAGGCGGATCTCTGTGAGTTCGAGGCCAGTCTGGTCTACAGAGCTAGTTCCAGAACAGATTCCAAAGGTACACAGCAAAACCCTATCTCAAAAAAAACAAAACAAAACAAAACAAAAAAACCAAGCAAACAAAAAAGTTGACTAGGAAGTAAAAGCAATCAAATAACTTTCCTGGAATTTGAATATGGACATTTTTAAAAATTATTATTATAGCTACAGAGATTAGTACTGTTGTGATAGACACAAGATAGAAGTAGGCTGATGTGAGTCAGGTTAAGTGGGGCCATCATGTGCTAAGAATTTACTGTCCGTGAACTGTATGTAAATGCATTGCTGGTAAGAAAACATAAAGGCCTGAATTGTTCTTCTGTGTTACATGTTTGTGTTTTGTCTTTCAGTTTAGCTTCTGTAAGTAAACTTACACCAGCAGCAGGATCTGTGATTGTTATTAAATCTGTTTAGAAGCTTTAATTACACAGCCTGTTTTGGTCATTCTAAAAGTTATCAAAATTTTAAAATATATTTTTTTGTGTTTTGATGTTTTTCAGTATTCTTCCACAATGCGATACCTTTCATAGGGTTTGGCTTTTTGGATAATGCAATTATGATTGTTGCGGTAAGTCTTCTTACCGCTTCTGTTTTGATTTAGTAAATTAGTGTGTTTTACATATTCTTAATAATTTATATATTATACCAATTAAGTTAATTAACAGTGAACAAATTCAATTTTTAAAGTATCGTATATTAATCATAGAACTTTTAGCAAAGCATGTAGACAATTGCTTATGTTGTATATAATTCTGTTCTGACATTTTTTATTAAGGAGCAAATGTATGTAAAAATCTCTGGTTTATTTAGTTATACTGGTACTTGTTATCACATATAGCTTTGATTAGTTCCTTGTCCAATTTTCTCATTCTACAATATGTTGGTAGGTGTTTTGGGGCATAGACAAGGCTTTGGTCTCAACATTTAACCCAACGATGCCTTAAGATTCATTTAACAACATCCTCTGCCTTTGCTGTATTATGTAGTATTTTAAAGAGTTTGCCTCTGCTGTGACCATTGCAATCTCAGGAATGCCTGGTTTGCCTTTCTTATATTAATGTCATCTCTTTTAGTGGACACCAATATTTGGTACAATTCCCCAACAAATTAGTGATTAAAACACAGCTATTTTAAGACTTTCCCAGAGTTTATTTACTGTTTTATATAAAGAATGATTTTCTCATAGTTCAGTCAAGGCAATTACTAACTTTTAAACATGCCTTTAGAATGCTTTATGCGGTCATCTTTCTTGGATATCAGCAGTAAATAGACTGAAGGTTACCTAAATCCTTGAAAGAGGAAAAAGTATAATTACTTATTTTTTTCTGGGTACCAGTTTGAGGGTCCAAAGGGTGTATGTATGTATGTACGTATATATGTATATATTTATTTATATATATATTTAGATTCATTTGAAAGAGAAAATGCTTCTCTGAATTAGAATCTACCTTACTTTAAAATTTTTCTATTAACTATTGTTGAAGAAACTACTCAGAAAGGTAGAGGAAGAGAGGTAGGGGATGGTGGGAAGGGAGGGAGATGGAAGCGTTTACTTTTGGAGTTTTAGAATTTATCTGTGCTATGAATGAACGTAAGTAGATTTAGGTATAAAATAGAGATTTTAAAAAGTAATTTACATAGTCATTTGATAGACGGCAGGTGTGTTTTAGAGTCTCGAAAGTCAGTTCATTTGAGATAGCTTGGTTGCTGCAGGGCCTGTCTAGCCTTACATCCAGATGAAGAGGGTCCAGCTGCTCCCTGATTTAAGAGGGGTTCGGGGGCCACTGTCAGCAGTGTGACCCTGGCCTGTGTACAGCTTGGGGTCACAAGCACCTCTGTAGGGTTTTTTGTTCGCATGCTGTGGCAAGTCCAGACTTCTCAAGGCTGATGCACATTAAGTAAGTGTCCCTAAAATGTAATTCTAGAATAATGATATATAATAATATATATATAACAATAAATTTTTTAGGATTATGATGCTTTCCTAGTATACATATAAGAATAAAAGTGATCTGCGTATATAAAAAAAAGTCTGAAGAGTATTTAAGTAATTAAAACTCAACTAACATTGAGTTGGCTAAATTACTGTTATTAATGAAAGCATACCTACTTGTAATAAAAGCTCCTTTATGCTGTTTCTAAACCTTAGTCGACTGTGTGCCCTGCTCAGGTTTTCTGATGGAGAGCACTGCTGTGCTAAATATTTCACGCTCCCATTATTTCGCTCAACCTGTTAGTGCTCCAGCCACCATTTTAGTAAACTTCCTTAATAAGACACAGCTTAAAGGCGCAGGTGCTGAAAACTGCCCTTGCTGTTGGCGGTTGTGGAGTGGTTCACTTTGGGCACAGTCAAGAGAGGGAGGTGTATGGACGCTAATAGCTTCCGAGAGCTCCAATCAGACCGGTCCTCTTATAAAATGCCATAGAGCGGGTGTCTGTGTGCAGACGGAGCATCGAAATCCGGACTGGACCAAACCCAGCAGAGCACGTCAGAGACTCCAGACACCTCCTCTTTGTCATGTTGTGTCCTGCAGGCCTGTGCCTCATCCTTAGTACTCAGAGTGTTTTTCCAGACCTGAGGTCTTACCTCCAAATTACCAATAACCTGTGTAACATTGAAATCCATCTTCGAGGATGCACTCCCTTGGGTAAAGTTTTTACAGAATAGATATTTTAAATCACTGACTTCAACACCAGATGAAAAGAGATGGTTCTGTCTGTTTCCGTAGTTGAAGGCTGTTTCAGAGAGCTGACCTTTTCCAGTTTTTATTTGACCCCAGACATTAGAATAGATAAATAATACAATGGCAGAATCTCCGAGAAGGGAACAAGTAGTCTTGACTGCCCTAGCAATGTGTTTTTTCCTGCTTGTCTTCACTCTTTTCCATGTTTTAAAGCACAGATGATCTTTTCACATTGTGGAGCTGGTGTGAGCTTTTCAGACAGGGCAAAGTTGAGTCTTCTGCCCTGTCATGCTATAAACTTACTTCCCCCTTCCTTTTAGATGTACACTCCTGGCTGCTACTTGGTGATCATGAGAACGAGTTTCTGTATAATCAGTTAGAATAGGGCAAGTAATACTCAGCCTTAGGTTATATAGTTTAATTTTATATTACTAAATTGCTTTTTATAATTTATATGTTAGTCATTTGGGGAATTGCTTTTTGTTTTTTTTTTTTTTTTACAATTCACTTAAGATAGAAAGTTTTAGAATAGATTAATCCTAAGTGTAATTAAAGTGATAAATGAAGTGTTAGATTTATTTGTAATTCCCATCTCATCTATTAAAACAATTTTTCTTTTTTTAAATACAGAGGAAAGTAAAGAAGTGTGGGATTGTCTTTGAATTTGTTCTCTTAGAAGAACCTTTAAGCACCCCAAATTTTACCAAATGATAAAGCACACAGATACTTCCTTCTCTGTGTGGGCGGTGATGGGGCTCCAGCTCAGAACCTGCGCATGCTAGCGGATCCCCTCTACTCAGAGAGCTACATCTTCAGCTCACACAAATAGTTTTTCCGACGCATATTTTTAAAGAGGTTCTTCTTGGGTCATTGACAATGATTCATTGCTGTCACATTTATTGTTTGCTGTGTGGCCTGTGCACAGCGCCGCTGTAGGTGCTCTGCCGTCTTGGCATTTATGTAAGATGGACTTACTTACACAACAGAGATCTGTATCTTTGTTAATTTCTCCTGTTTGGGCTGTCCTTTCACGTCCCTTTCGTCTTCCTCAGAAATCTGCTATTTTAGCTCCTTCAGAGAGTGGTGTATCAGGCTGTTTGGTCATATTCAACAAGAGTTACATCTTCAAGGGGCAGAGCTGAAGGCAGAGGGACAGGAGAATTGAGGAAAGTGTTTTACAGACCGAGCAGTGGGACATTCACGTAACACGTTAGATACTCTTGTTTTCCTTAGTGTTAAGAGTTGAATTTCTTTTTCTTTCTTTCTTTCTTTCTTTCTTTCTTTCTTTCTTTCTTTCTTTCTTTCTTTCTTTCTTTCTTTCTTTCTAATTTTGAATGCTAGTCTTCTAGGGAGCTCTTGCAAACTTAAGTTTACCTTCGTGAAGGATTGGAGCTGGATTAGCAAAGTAGACTTAGGGCCTCCTCCTCTGTGTGACAGACAGCCCAGGGGAGTCCCTGCATCCTGCCACTTCAGCTCCTCCTGTAGAGTGGGCCGGAAACGTGAGCCCCCTTCTTTCCCCAAGGGGAAGGATAAATGTGGGACCCTTTGACGCCCTATAATAAATCAGTCCAGTGGGATGCTGTGGGCCTCATTCTTCCTGCAGGTGTCGGACTGAGTGTTGTTCGACTTGAACACGGGAATTCTAGCGGGACTGCCCAATGGTTAGGGAACTAAAGGCTGTGAGGAAAGTCTTACTAATGGCAGTTTTCCTAGAAGATCATTCCGTCTTTCAAATCTTGATAGAGTAAATAACAGCACAATATATTTCAGAATTTAGCATCTATGGGTCAGTCTTTTTGCTTAAGGAGTTTTAAAGCACATTTCTCTGTGATAGAAAAGCAGAATTAAGAACATAGAAATGAGATTCTTAGTGAAGAATTATTACGTGTGTTGCTATTTATTTTGAGGGAGGATCAGTTTTACTGGATGAAATGTTAGTGGTTATTTCTTCATGAATTACCATCACTTCATATATTGTGCACATTTATGGGTATTTTTGTGTGTAATTATGTTATAACAGCATGTGGATATTACTACATAGTCTGTTTTTATTAGCACATTGATATTCTTTGATAGCCATGCCAGCTTTAACTTCTTTTCCAATTACTCTTCAGGGAACCCAGATCGAATTGTCTATTGGAATTATTTTGGGAATTTCAACAATGGCAGGTATATAATAATAACAAATGTTAAAATTCTGCTGTCTGCATGTTGTTTAGAAATGTCAGCAAGTTGGGTTTAGAAGACAATTCATTTGAAATGCTTTGCTCATTGAGGTGTTGATTTGTTTAGATATCTCTAACCCTAATCTTCTGGTTCCAGTTTTCTGTAGATAGCAGGTTTCTCCTGAGAATTGTAACTAGTTTGTGTTAGGTAGTGGCTAACACTGCTTCACTGAATTGTCTGTGTGAAGGCAAGTTTTTCTCAGAATTCAGTCTTACCATTGAACGTTTACTTGAAGCGTTTTTCCTTCCTTTACTTTCTTGTACTTGGAGTTGCTTATGTAGCTTTGCTCCTGAGCTTCCAATATCTAAATTCCCCGAGACAAATACCACACTAAAGACACAACTATGAAATTTTAATATTGAAGTAAAAATAGAAGATTTCTCCTGTACTCTGCAGACACTCTATTAGTGGAGGTACGATATTCTAATTTTAGGATCATGCTCTCTTTAATCTCTTGGCACCTAGAGCTATCCCTGAGCTGCTTCTAACAGAGCTGTTACAGCAGAGAAATACGGTGACCCCAGCAGCCAAAGCTCAGTGTTTCTCACGTGATATAATACTGTGACCTCTGCCGGCTTTGTTTTGACGATTCATTGTGTGTGTTTCAAATTTCCAGCTGCTGCTTTGGGAAATCTTGTTTCAGATTTAGCTGGACTTGGGTAAGTCCACTCATAATTTGTTTCTGCAGCTACATACTTACATGTTCTTGTCTTTATTCTCCTCTAATTAATAAGCCCTTTAAAAGGATAATTATTTTCCTTTGGATTCTAAAACTAAACATATAAGTTTAATGTTTCTAAATTAGTAATACTAAATATGTGGTGGAAATCAAATATAGTTGTTGACAATGAGTCAAACTGGATTAGTGGTTCTGAGAATGGATAGAACCATGCCACTTTGTTATATCCTAAAATGATAAAAATATAAGCAGGATGGAACAGAGAATTAAAAGTAAACCTCTGTCATTTACCCCACTTCCTTATACTTGCAAAAATCTCAAAGATAAAGAAATTAGAGGATACTGACCTACAAAGGAAATAATGTCCAACGTTCTCCCTACCTTTCTTCTCCCTCCCTCCCTCTCTCCCACTGATGTTAAGGGGTTGATCATAGGGTTTTATTCATGCTAAGGATGTGCCCTACCACTGAGCCACACCTCAGCCTCCAAAGCTTATGTTTACCTGGCCATTTTCCCCTTTCATCTGGCAGAATGATAACACAGCGGAGGATGGCTGCTCCGAAAAGCCCTATTCCTCACTTTCTTCCAGGTGGCAGATGGCCTGGGCTGCTTCCTGGGCTTGGGAAAGCTGAGAAGTTGGCATTAAATATTAGCACAAACATCTCTCTCTTGCTCTGTCGTTGACATTGTTTTCCTTTCTTGGCTACTCATGTGGTATATTTTGAGATTTGGGTTTGGCTCACAGTAGGCAGTGACAGTTTTATAGGTGCTCTGTCCCTCAATATTAGGCATCTATACTTGAGTTTGGGGCCAAAGCTAATTATAAGTTTTTTTTTCTTTAGGGCCATGATTGGGATTTTATAGTTTAAGAATTTTTGACATAAATCTTATCTTGGTGCAGTGTCCTTGATATTCCATTTTCAAACTTCAAGCTTAATATTGACAACATTGCCGCTTCTGTGTTGCTTTCTGTTGTATTAGAACCAACTAATAGATTTTCAAGCCACTTAGCTTTAGATTGGGTGTGAACATTTTTATAAGCACTTTTACGCTTGAGAACTGTTTCCTCTCTTCTATTTTCAGTGTCTTTCACAAATATCACATTTTATGTGTTCTTTGATGCATACTTTCAAAACACTTGATATCTGAAGCCGGAATGTATCTTCTGGTTGTCAGTGTATGTAACTGGCAAGCTGTTTTCTTCTGACAGTACAAGAATTATACCCAACAGTGGTGGTAACTTAGACTCCCCGATTAGGCTAAAAGTTCTAGGCTGTCATTCTTAAGTGTGTTATTAGTCTGGAGAATTTTAAAAACTGTTGCTTTCTGATCATAGTTACCAGATTAAATCATATGTTCAAGTAATTTGCTTAGAGTTTGAAGTAAGTGCGGCAATTTTAATTATTTATAAAAAATTATATGCCTTGATTGGCCTCTTAAAGATAATGATAAGGAATAAATGCTCTGAGTCACTGTGTATGAAATGTGAGTTGGAAAGTATCTTAAAACTGGGTTATCTATATAGAATAAAAATAGAAGCTGTAAAATTTTTGTGCTTTGTCTGGATTGATGAACACGGGCGAAACTCCCGCTTCTCTTTGTAGAGATTTGTTTTTACTGTATGAAGGCGTTTGCATGTCTCTTAAAACTCTCTCATTCTTTTGTTCTCTTGAAGCCTTGCAGGTTATGTTGAGGCCTTGGCTTCCAGGTTAGGCCTATCAATTCCTGATCTCACACCAAAGCAAGTTGACATGTGGCAGACGCGTGTTAGCACACATCTGGTAAGTGATGTGGCCCATGGGCCTGGATCTGGTGGTTAGCGTGGCAGTTCTAGACTATAACTGATTTGAATGGAGTTGCTAGGAAAAGTTAGCCAGGCCTAGGCCGTTCTCAGAAAAATAGTGTGATATCCCTTTATTTTCATGTATTCCAGCTTGATTAATTAAGGACTTGAACACCCAAAGGTTCTGTTCTTCATTGATTATTCAATGATGGAGCTGATCCCCATTGTACTGAAGTCGTTCCTTGGTGTTCATTCCTGAGCCTTTCTGTGGACCGGTAGGGGAGGAACGATCAAATAGCAGTGGATTGAAATATTAATGGAGGCAAGCATCACCCTGCTCTAGCATTTTTAAAGGGAGCAAGAGGGGGACCCTTGGTCACCCTGGGTGATAGTGAAAGTTATTTTAACAGAATTGGCAGGCAGTTGGGGGTCTCTTAGCAGAGGTCACAACCTAGGGCAATCGGGAGCCAAAATGAATCGTCTCTGTTGAAATATAAATGATCAAAATATGAGATCAAAATAAGAATTGAGGACTGACTTTACTAGGTTCTGGACAGAGCAAATTTCTTCTTGTTATATCTCTGAAACTGTAGTACCTTTTAAAATAGTTACATAATGAGATTGGCAGATTTAATAATTAATATAAACATGGGTGTACCACCACCACTACAGCAAACAACAAGCTGCCGTAGTAACAGATTGAAAGGGTGTTGTATACGCTGTTGTCAGAACGTTGATGTCTTCCTTGAAAGTTGTTACTGGTACTCCATGACGCTATCCAGAACATTTCCCTCCGCATTTCCCACTGCAGATCATGCAGTTTGTACAGCTTCTGTAGTGCCAGATGGGGCTTGTTTTGTCTCTCTGTGTTCATACGTAGAGCTCCAGGAGGAGAGACCAACTCTGTGTGATTGGTCCCTGTCTCGGGATTACCCAGCACAGAGAGTTTAATACACAACAGAATCTCAATGAATGATCTTATGAAAGAAGAAAACTTAGTTGAGGAGCCCGAGAGATAGCTCAGAAGTTAGGAGTGCATACTCCTCTTAAGGATCCAAGCGCTCAGGGCCCACAGCTTCCTGTAACTCTAGTTCCAGGGTATCCAGTGTCTTCTTAAAGACATATACATGCACACAAATAATATTTTTTAAAAGAAAACTTACAGCTAGGGTTACACAGAGAAACCCTGCCTTGAAAATAAACAGATTTTTTTTATTTAAAAAGAAAACTTAATTTTAAAGCATCTAAATTTGATAGTCATCATAGAAATGCAAAGTTTAGACTCATTTATAGAAGTGAGAATTTTAAACTTTCACAAGGTAGGTTTCACAGTGTAGATTGCAGTGAGACAGAGTGCAACATTGTTTCTGTAGTGGTTGTATCTTCATGTAGCTAAGCATTCATGGGATTAAGTGCTGAAGGACTGTATACAAGGATATCAAATCCAAATACACTGTCCTGTGTTCTGGTCTTGTGACATTAAAATACACAAACTATTAAAATAATGTTTTCTACTTGGACATTTCTGTAATGTCATGTTCATGATAAGTTTTTCCCTTATTCCTCTGAACTTTAAAATGGCCTGTTGAGAGTTTGGTAGTTTATTTAGTACTTAGGTTTCTATCATCGACAGGAACCCAGTTGTGGTGGCAGTTTCAGTGTGTGGCAGTTGACTGTTGTCGTCAGTGTTTATGCAAGGGGACCTCTTTTGTGGACACGGTAACTTTAAGAAATACTCTCTTCTGTTTCCTTAGGGCAAGGCTGTTGGGGTGACTATTGGCTGCATTCTAGGAATGTTCCCTTTGTTTTTCTTTGGAGGAGGCGAAGAAGACGAAAAACTGGAAACGACAAATTAATCACCTTAGAATCCCTATAAAAAGATGTAAACTAATGTACCTCAGTCATTAACAAATACTGTCACGGCATTTAGTGACGAGGACAGTGACAGTGCATAGGCTCGGGATCAAGTACTTCAGCATGTATTGTGGAAACACTAACTTATTGTGGCTTGGTCTTCTTAAGATATCTTTTAAAAAACCATTTAGTATATCATTTTATGTAAATCGCTGAGATGCTTTTCATCAATGGCAGTCAACATGTTATCTTTTTCCTTCTCTCTATGTATCAACATATTATTTAACTTTTAGTCATTGATACTGTACTGTACTGACTTGGGATTTGCTTATTTGTTATGTAACATGTACATGCATGGAAATACCTATTTATGTTTTTTTTTCTTGATGATTATAATCCAAAGCTAGGGTTTCTCCAAATTATGTAAGATGTTTAACATCAGTTAAATTTTGACTCCCTGCCTGGAGGCGTCACTTCTGTGCTGTTTCACAGTAAACATTAACAATCATGTACTTTCACTCATTTCTGAAGCTTTCGCATCTGTTCAAAGTGAATACAGACTTTAGGTGTTTTAAGTATATCCAGTTCTTTTAATTTTGAACCACATTGTCTTAAGGGCCAGAGGCCAATCGGAAAGATTGACTCTCTGGCCTTCCTTTTACACACACCATACATGCTAACAAGTGTTTTGGCCTTCCTTTTACACACACCATACATGCTAACTAGTGTACTTATTTTTAGTCGACTTTTTACCTTTGATTTCCCAACCTTGAATAATCGCTCAGTGAGTTTTGGTTTGGGAGGGAAAGACGGTGCTTCAGTGCTTACCGTCTTTAAAATAGGGATTAAGAAATTAGATTTTTTAAAATCTAAAGATTTTAAGATGACATTTGAGAACTATGCTAATTTCCCTTTCTTTGTAAGGGAAATAGGAAATGGAGACTTTAAGGAGGTTTATGGAGGAAGCGGCAGGGTTCAGGTGTTTGGAAGGTCCATGACCAGTTCTGCTTCTTTGGAAGGATTTCCCTCCTAAAGTGTTATTGTCTCATCAGAATGGGATGAGTCTAATTATTCCTTGCTCAGAATCCTAATCTCATTAGCTCTCGCTTTGTGATTTTTTCCCCCCTCTGAATGAAGTTTTTAGAAATAACATGTGTTTCATATTTTGCCCTATAACCTCGTCAATCATGTCATGAGGCGAGAGCCTTTCCCCCAGTTTTGGAGATTTTTCTTCTGTGGTGATGATGGCACATGGCTGGTGAAAACTGCTGAGTCTGAGCTTGTATGTCTGACCTAAATCATGTGGGAATCCTAAGTTTTAATTTTTGAACCCCTGAGGTTTTTTTCCCCATGTGATCTACACATGCTAAAAAGTTACATGTGACAGAATATTTGAACATAGGGAAGAGAGAAACCGAAGTTAGAATTTATTCTTTGGGGGAATTCAAGTTATTCACGTTTGCTAACTAGATGAAAAAGACAAACAGCATGACTATGCCTTTTAAATCTTACTTTGGAGTTTTGTTTGCACATAATTACTGTGAGCTCTTCTTAAAGATTTCTTTTCCATAAGAAAACATATCACGTACCGTCTCGTACACGTCACGTGCTGTCTCGTACACGTCAATACCGTCTCATACGTGTAACACATTGTCTCTGCCACACTTGGGATGATTTAGTGCTGTGCATTTATCATAGACTTTCAAGGACAAACAGACAGTATAAAAACCATCAAATTCTCGTACACCCAAGTAGCACTCTCCTTTGATCAGATTGGAATGACACGACTTGCCATCTCAGACAGGTCTGCCTCTTGTATCTTCTTCACGTATCACCCACGGGCACCAGGAAGAGGAGTCTAGGTCAATGGATTATAACACTTATTTCATTTTCTGTGTGAACTGTGAGTGCTTGTATCCATCCTTCGTATAGACAGATTAGAATGCGTGTTGCGTTTTCTGTGTGAACTGCGAGTGCTCGTGTCTCTCCTCTGTGTATCGGTAGCTTTCCTGTTTTTGTTTTCTTAGTGCTGTATTGTGGTGCTTAACTTTTCTTCTTATTAAATCCCATTTACAGAAACCTCTCTTGGAGTTCAGAAAGGAATTTGATTGTTCATTTCCTTTTTCTTTCTCTTAAAAATATTCCAGCCCTCACTACCAGAATTTCTGTGAACAGAATTATGCCGGTTTTGTTAAATCTTCAGTTATCTGAGTTGTCAAAACATGAAAGATGTAACTTTCACATTGAAAGACATTCAGATTTTCAGTAAAAAAAAATCGAATCATATTTAATCAGTAAAATGTGTTGAATCATTAAAATACTTAGTTTTCAAAAGCAGACAAACAAAATCCAGAGGCGTCGTTTCCTCAAGCTCTCGCTCCGACCTCACGTGGTCCTCTGCACAGTGTGGTTTCTGAAGATGGCTGCCTTTAAATCAGTGACTCCGTGAGAGCCTTGCGTAGTGTTTTCACCACAGAGAACCGGCATCAGCTGAAACTGGACCGCCCTGTCTCCTAGCGGCTGCTCTGTCAGCACCGCAGCTCCGGCGAACTGTCTCGTGAGCTGTAGGACTGTTCGTTCAGAATCTGTGTTGTTCCTGTATTATAACTTACTGACTTGTCGATGCATGTAAACTGGGTGCATTTTGTTGCCTCTGTATGTTAAATAGTGACCAATGTTTTTACGAAAGAATTGAACAAAAAATATCTTTTAAGACATTTGGAATGTGGTTTTTTTTTTAATTTATTTATTTATTATGTATACAATAGTCTGTCTGTTTGTATGTCTGCAGCCCAGAAGAAGGTATCAGACCTCATTACAGATGGTTGTGAGCCACCATGTGGTTGCCGGGAATTGAACTCAGGACCTTTGGAAGAGCAGGCAATGCTCTTAACCACTGAGCCATCTCTCCAGCCCCCTGTGGTTTTGATTTTAAAATTTGGTTTTCTTGATCTCAGAGGGCCTGGGCTATTCTATCACTGAAGGAAACAGGATTAATAAATGCAGGTTTGTTATGAGGTGACAGACACACGAAGACACTACTTGGAGCAGTTTTACACACACACACACAAATACACACACACACACCCCGTTACATGCACACACATATACACACCTACACAACATACACACATGTGCGAGCATACGCAAACACACACACCCTTAAAGTCCCCATTGACATTGAATCCTGTGGAGTATGAGAGAAGAATGATCCCATAAAACAGCCGTGAATGGCTGCTAAATCAGAGGGCCAGGTTCTTACAGCCTGAGCCATGCAGACAGCTCAGCCGTGCTCAGGTCACGCTATGCCTTTTCTCCAGGCAGGAGGACACTGTGAAAGCAGCAGAAAGGTTTTCAATTTTATTTATTAGTTCTTTGCAGATTTCATCCAGTGCATTTTGTCATCTTCACAGTCTCCATGCAAACTCTTTCTAGGCTCTTTTTCTACCCAGCTTTGAGTCCCAGCCCCGCCAGGGCCAAGCTGCGCTGCCAAATATTGGCTGTGTGGCTTCCGCTTAGTGTAGGTGACTTATCGGGGCCTGGCTGTAGTCACTCCTAGAGGAAACTGTCCCTTTCCCAGCAGCTAACAAGCACAATGGAAGATTGTGTGGACTTAGAAAGTGGCTTCTCATTCTTGTCATGCGTTATTTGGAAATGATAAGAAGGATGATGGTAACAACTCTGTCCCCTCCCCCTTTTATCAGCCTTGTTGCTGTATGCTGCCGTGTTCACACTGCAGTGTTTACACCACCACCACCACAGTTAGTACCACACCGCTGTTGGTGCGGCCCCCTGCTTTAAACCGAGGAAACCGAGGCGTGGTGAAGGCATACCGCTACTTGCCAGTGGACTTGAGTTAGTTACGTCCATGTATACAGCAAGTGCTCTTAGGTTCTATGCAATAGGGGCGTCATATGCTTGAACTATGAGTTAACTTTTAACAAAGATCTTTTTAAAATCCGTTTCTCATATGTAACCCAGCAATTCTTATTTGAAACCTCAAGGTGTACTTGGTAAATTCTGTGTATTTGGTTACATACGGTGGGCTAGGGACTTTCCAAAGCACCAATGACTATTGTTTGTTTAGGGGATAGTTTTGTTTTTGTTTTTGTTTTTTTTCCTTTTGTTTTCTTCACACAAGGTCTCACCCTGCTGATATCAAACTTGGGCAACTCTCCCATCTCTGCTTCTGAGTGCTAGAATTACAGGCCTGTACCACCGCACTGGGCTTGGTGTCTCTGACTTCGTGAAGCTTAATCTTCAGGGAGCAAAGGTGGGGAAGAGAACATAAAAATAAAGACACACTTAGTTTTTTTTTTTTTTAAATCTTTTGGTTAATAAATGAAACAAGCACAGGATCAGAAAATGCCAGTGATCATAAATGGGGTTTCCAGGGACGACTGGAGGAAGTGAGCATGCCCAGTACAGATGTCTGTCTGTGCAGAAAAGAATGTACTACATTTCTGGAAACTGGTGCTACATCTCAACCACATGAAATAATATTTCATCTTGAGGTGCCCTGTGTATGTTTCCCTCTTTGTCTCACTAGGTGAATGTCTGGACAGTTAGCTGTCTGTTGAAATCTGCCTCTGTGGCTACCACATATTCTGTCTCACCTGTCCCTTCTGTGAAGACATTCACCTGAGACAAGGCTCAGGTTTCTGAGTAGTGGCCTTGTTTATCGGGAACAGCATCATCCTGTTCTGTGTGGCTCCTTGGTATCAGATAACCTACACATGAAAAACACCTGGTCCAAAACACCCAGCGTGCACTAACAGATTCCTTGCAGGCAGAGAAGGGCTGGGGTGGGGATACAGTGGTAACTAGTTCTAGCAATGGTCATCACCCAGCAAAAATCCACTGTGACCGTCCAGCTAAAGCTGGCTAAAGGCTAGGGCTCATCTACTTGAAGAAACCAGCACAGGGAAGACTCAAAGATGAGAGATGTCCAGGGCTGAGGTGGCTTGCTTCTATGGTTGCCTTCAGCTTGGAGGCTTCCAGTTCTCCTTGGTAGTTTGGACTCTGGAGTTTTAAAAGCTGACTGCAAAAGAACAGAAACCAAGAGAGCTTCGGGCAGAGACACCAGGGGGTCTCAAGCTGTAGTTTGCCCTTGAGAACCCTGGGAAAAGGGGGTTGTGTAGGATAGAAAGGAAAACAAAGCAGAAGGCTTCACGTAACAGATTAGGGTGGCGGAGCTGTTGGGAGGAGGGCTCTGAAGGTGATGATTGGAAATTGGTTGAGGGGGAAACCAAAGGTGCAAGGAAGTTTATGCCCCACCCCTTTCTGCACACATGCTCGGGATTCTACATTTTAACCCCTGGAATTTGGGGATGTGTTATATAACATGGTTTTGCCTGTGGGATTAGGAACGTGGCTTCATTATCCAGTGTTGAAGTGAAAGAGAAGCTGTAGAAAAAGAGTGATCTGCAGCACAGAAGACCCCGTCACTGTTACTGACCTTGAGGATGGAGGAAAGGGGCCATGATCCAAGAATACGGGCCACCTTCAGAGCCTGAGAGTCAACAAGAAAACAAGGAACTGCATCGTGTACCCCCCCCCCCCCCCCCCCCCCCCCCCCGCC